ATGCTACATTTCTCCAAATCTGATGAAGAAACAAACTCATTTATAGCTTGGATGGCCTGAGGGTGAGCACATTTGCATCAGATTTTGCATTTCTGGATGAACTACCCCTTTAAGGTGTGTTTTGGACATAAGATTTCAACAGTTTACAAAGTTTCCATTGTATTTAGTCAACAAAAACATACCGCAGTGCTCTGCTGAACTATTCCTGTAACAGTTCAAATAGGACGAAGATCACAATTTTCCAGTTTAAACATCATATTCGTAATACGAATAACAAAAAACAAGTGCATGTTTCTTTAAAAGCATCTGATGATGTCATGAAACTAGACTTGAGGTTTAATAAATAACTTAGTACATGACTGATTCCATTAGTAAGTGGAAATATTATGTGTGTATACATTTATAAAACGGACTTAAATATAATTAAATGTATCTGTAAAGGCCAACTGGCTCATTTGTTAAAGCTAATCGCACCTATTTGCTGTTTATCCATCAGTTGTGATGGCTATGAAGTTGTTCTGTTCAACAACACTTCTTCAGCTCTGGTCCCAGCCAAACTTCTTCAAAGCAACTGAAGCTTCTTAGAAGATCCCAGGTTCTTAAGTGCTTAAAGTCAGTCGAGATAATGACATTAATAAGTGGCATTATGTTACGCCGGGGTGGAAACGGACGCCTTGGATATGTTTGCTTGCAAGCCGCATGGTACCACAGAGAGGTTCTTCATCCTCGAGTCCAAAGTGACGCCACAGTTATGAACCTGTTGCCTGCAGCAGGAAAAACAACTTGATTAAAAACCAAAACAAAAGCACCGGATTTAAAATTCCAGATAAAGTGGCATTGTACCAGTCGCATTCAGTGATGCTGTAGAAGACGGCCGGTTTGTGTTCCTCTCCGTTAGTGAATGTGGCCCCCAGACCGTTGGCCCCTGCATTGCTGAAAAGCAGCCAGTCTCCAACACTGAGCTCCGGCAGCAGACATCGCTTCACCACCTGATCCAGATCATCAGCAGACGGACCCCACAGACTGCTGGAGAACAGCGGCTCTTCTGCGCTCACCTCCTGACAAAACACCACATTACACATGATCAGCTTTAACAATCTACTGACTAAAGCACTAGCCTGTGATGGTTTTAATGACTGAAGATGATGCTCAAATCTTTTAAAATCTTTCTTGGTCCAACAAAAGAAGCAGCTCGCACACATAATTAGGGCTGTCAAAATGACTGAGAAACTAAATTCGAATTTTCTACTTAAATATTATCAAAACTCAAATTCTATTCGAATTTAAAATGCATAATTTCAGTTAGGGGGAAAAAAAGCTTTTGGCTTCTCTCCTGAGGCCACAAGAGAGCGCATCGAGCAAAATATTATGCACGTTTCTTCAAAGCGTAATAACACGACTATCTTTGAAAAAAAGTGCATAATGTTTAAAAACCATATATAATTAATAAAGTTGCTTAAACAATTAGAAGAAAAAAAACAGCACCATGCATGCATGTATGTATAGTTTAATACAAAGGACCGAAAACCAATCACAAAAGTAAAAACACGAGATACAGTGGGATGGGGAACAACCGCCATAAAGGCTTGACATGTTTTTTAAAAGTTTAACTTACATTAATTTTACATGGCTTTCTAAACATGCGGCTCTCTTGTACGAGGCGCGAGTGCAACGCTGATAGATGTCCCTCTAGAAAATATGCCTTCTGTGTGAACGGCTTGGTTTCAGTTTTGACGTAAGCAACAACATCTCCACACTGATGCTCTCGTTTTCCGCAATATATGAATGAACAACGTAGCAGCGCCGCTTCTTGTGGGTTCAACTGGATAGGCTAACAAAAGCATTAAAATGCAATGACACTTACATCGTTGCATTTTGTGCGCCACTGATAAGGCTGCCTGACGGCTGACGCAGACCTAAAATTCGAATGCAACGTTTTTGCTTTCGAATGTGGATTTTTTTTTTTTTTCGACGAATATTCGAAATTCGATTTTTTTTTGACAGCCCTATAGTGTAGTAGATGAAACTGTGGCACTCATTCACACAGACACAAGCATAGCTGTCTTTTTGCTTTTAATACCCACAGATACTAGTCCATATCGTAATTTGAATAAGTGTAAAGCCCTACTTTTTACCATTTTTATGACTGGATTCCACAAATCCGTCTGCCCTACAGACAGAAGACCACCAGACAGCGTCTCCTCTCTCATGAACAACAAGTCTGTGGGAAAAAGAGTTCAAGCATGAGTTTAACCTTCAGAACGTAGTGTACAATCGTCTGTCAGTGAACTATGAGAAGGAAGTGATGTCAAAAAGCGACTGAGCAGAGAAAACCCAGCCCTGAGATGCATGGGAAAAAAGACTCTGAACGCTTGTTTATGTCATACAAGTGACTGTTTGAAACTCTACAAGTACATTTCATCATTAGAAACTTATTCACAGAAAATAAGACACCAGAAAAAGCGAACAGAGTGTTTGTCTGTTCTCTAATAAGCTGGCACGGGTCTTGCAAGAGTATTGTTTGATTAATAATGTGCTTTGAGGATGATCCTAGAGTTTTGATCTAAACTGTGCGGGGCGCTGCTCCACGGGAAATGCGTCAGAACCCGATCCAACGGGAACATACAAATGTGCTACCTCCAGTGAGAGGTGTAAGATAGCGAGTGGAAAATCAAAAGGAAGAGAGATAGAGAGCAACAAGCTTCTCTTGTTCTGGTTCAAGACCTTGCACTTTCCTCTTTGGGTCGGTCTCAAACTCCCATGGCCAGGGGCCTTAAGCTCTTTAGATCATTCAATAACAAAACACGGGCGCTCCTCAGGGACACCGGCACACAGCACACATCCTGTAGACGGCTCTTTCAAATATCTGTGGTTTGTTTGGTCTGGAGGGCGGATGCGAAAGAG